CCCGTTTGGTCCTCAGCACTGCCCATGGCCCCGAGGGTAGAGCACACACTGCTCACTCAGGTGGGTGTGCAGCAGCCACATCCGGTCCCTGGGCTCCTGTCCTCAGCCTCAGCCTCGTCCCTCCTTGCTCCATCCTGGAGCACCGAAGAACTGCTTCTGCACCCCCAGCCTCTCCATGCCACTTCACAGGGACTTTTGCTCCCCCCTGGGCCCTCTGCCTACGACGCCTCCTTCCCTCTACCCCCTTCTCCCTCATGTTTGGCCTGATGACCAATGGCCTGTAATGAATTCTTTCTTTTGAACACAGAAACTCAGTGGAGGTGATGTAGACACAAGGCTGCTCCGTAGAGAAACGAGGATGGCCAGTGTGGCTCAGTGGTTGAGCATCGACCTATAAACCAGGAGGTCATGGTTCAATTCTCAGTCAGGGCATATGCCCACGTCTTGATCCCCAGTGTTTCTATCTCTCTTTCCCTCTCTCTTCCTCTCTGCAGGCATCGAGTGGGAGGTGATCAGCGGGGCTTTTACCAAGACCCTGGACCCCACCTTCACCCAACCAATCTGGCTGATCTGCCTTCTTGACCTTCTCGGCACTGGGGGCCCCGTTCTCTGGGCTTCTGCTTCCTCGGCGGACCTGATTTACAGACCAGGTTGGGGGCCACTCATTTAAGCTGAACTTGATACATGCCGGCTCTCACACCCCGAGGCAAGAGCTGGGCTCCCCTCTGCAGGGAATGAGTCAACATAACGACCTAGTGGAAGATGATGAGCTTGGGAGATGATGAGCTCGATGTTAGATTTCCTGCTTATGCATTAGAAAAAGAAGCGAGGGAAAGAGGTGGCGAGAGGAATGTTGGCCAGGAAGCCAGCCTGACTAAGGACTCTTTGCTGCTCAGTAGTTGAGCCAAGCTAGTCCTGAAGATAGAGAAAATGGTGAAAATTTACTACAATCTGGAAAACAAATACTGAGCAGAATCAGGAAGAAATAATAGTAACTCATCTTGACTCAACTCTGGCCATTTTCTTCACAAAATAGGCCAAGAGCTACATCTAACCTGGATGCAGTCACAGGGGTGTGCAATCCCCCCACCCTCAAGTGCTGGTCTAGTCCTGTCAGCCAACCCTCCCTCCCACCCTGCCTTCCTTCCTGCTTCCCCTGAGGGAACATCTGAGCGCCTTCTGTTCTAGGGGCCTGGGACCAGTGAGAAGCGACTGCCTCATGAGTCTGTTTCTAAGGGTGGGGGCGGGGAGCAGGGAAACAGTCATTGGACAGGCTGCACGTTGATGGCTGCCATGGCAGGAATGCAGGCACGGGGTGGGGGTGGTGGTTTTGAAGAAAGAGAAGGCAAACCCCAGAAGCAAGTCTAGGCCGGAAGTGCCTTCTGGTTGGTGCAGCCCAGGAACTCGGACTGTACCAGCCGCAGGAGAATGGCTTCAAAGCCATTGTTTCTCAGGTAACCACCTCATACACGCCTTTCCAAGTCAGCTCATTCCTGACTGCGGGCCAGCAGGCCCTGTCCCTCTGACCACAGGGACGCACATGGCCCAGGCGGTGTGACTTGTTGAATGCCTACTCTTGCCAAGCTTTGTTGTAGACACTGGGGATAAAGTGATGCAAAGATGAAGTCCTTGTCTTCATGGAGCTTATATCTATGGGGAGACGGATAATAAATAGGTGATGAGATAAACATGGATGCACATTGAAGGTCTAATAGTGTCACCAAGTGGAGCTAGAAGGGGATCCTTGAGGAGATGGGAGAGGACGCCGGGCAGAGGGAACAAGAGGTGGGCAGGCTCCCCGTGGGGGGTGCTTCCAGTATGGGGGGAAAGCCAGGAGACCCGTGGGCAGGACAGTGGGGTGGGGGCGAGGCCTCCTGGGGACTTTGCGTGGTGTTCTGGTGTGACAGGAAGTGCTGGCGGGTGGAGCACAGGGATGTCAGGTCTGCCTGGTACCCTAGGAGGATCACGCTGCTGCTGTGTGAGGAACAGACAGGGGCAGGGGAACAAGTGGGGTAGATAACACTTGTGGGCCAGGGAGATGGGTGGTTAAACCTCGCTGGTGGCAGGGGACAAGGTGGGTGGGGTCGGATGGGGGCTCAACCTGGTGGCCTCGGTGGTGGATGCAGAGTGAGTGGGGCCCAGGCTGAGCCTGTCAGGATGCAGGCCAGGGTGGCCGGATGCTGTCAGATGCCCGGCCTCCGGATGGGCTGTGACGTGCAGGGCCAGGCCCAGCAGCTGAGTGACCAGAATTAGGAACTGGAATTAGGAAGTGAGGTCCAGGGCTCTTTGACCCAGAACATCTCTTTACATGTTATATTTGGTTAGAAATTGGGGCCAAAAGACGCCGAGAACTGCAATCTGTTCAGCATGAGGGACGTTATACTTGGATTTCCAACAGAGCAGCCGGTAGATTGCTCCTGCGTAGCTTCTCTCCAGGCACGTTAGTAGATACACTCTTATCTGGGAAGTTGGACAGCTGATGGGTTGACCACAGGCAGCATGGGAACACCCAAGCGGATTGCTGGACCGTTTGTCGTCCGTTTGCCTTTCCTTTGGTTGCCTGGGTGGCTGACACCACTGAGCCTAGGGCAGGGTGAGGAGCTTCATGGTGGCCACACCTGGGCTCTGATTCCAGGGAAGGACCAAGGCCACACCCCATCTGGTTCCTCACCCCATCAGATGAGGCGGTCTCCTGGCGGTGAGCATGATTAGGGGGTCGAGTGGGCATTGTCAAGCCCTCCTGTCGAGTCCTGCTCAGCTCCATATAGCCTACCACTTGGAGTGTGTCGGGAAGGGGAGGGCAAGGAGGTGGACGGACAGAGACCCTCGCTCCGGCTGAACTCAGGAGTGTCCCGGCACCAGAGTCGGCAAGCAGAACAAGCTTTGCTCTGCACCTGGCACTGCCACAGGGCACCAGTGCTGAGTCCCAGCTGCTCCTGTAGCAGAGCAAAGGGCCAGGGAGGGTGCTGGGCAGGACGGACCGTGGAGAATGTGCTTCAGAGGGAAACCCCACACTGCAGGAACCCAGAGCAAAGC